AATTTTTTTCCAAATTTCAACAGCTGTAAACAAAATTTGATGAAATACTGAATCTCTCATACCTTTTCCTCGATATTTTGGATGAAGGAAATATGCTAGAATATAAAATTTTATATCAAACTCTTTCCAGCGTTTGTTATAAAATTGAATACATTGTTTACGAAATTCAGTACGTTCTGATAAATCATTTTTGTTAAGTGTATTAATAGCCGTTGCCATCTTGACAAGAAATAAAAAAATATCTGCTGTAGTTGTAGCTTTAGATTCAACTATTTTAACAGCATTTTTAGCAGAAGATAAAACTTTAGCTAAAACTTCAACATTTGCCCATCTTGTATAAGGTTTTGTAATTCTGATGTTATATTAAACTCATTATCATCTAAAATCTAATATATATAATTATTTTATTTTAATTAAAATTTTAAATTCAAATATATATTGTGTCACAGATATTAATTTATTTTAAGTATATATTAGCTTTTTGACCAATTAATATATAAAATAAATTAATATCTAAAACATAGTATATATGCATTAAATTAGTCACAAATGATTATAAAATCAGATAATAGTAAAATTTAAAGGTCTTAATTTGAAATTATATACTCTACCAAATTTATCTATATTATTTTACTAATAACTATAGCTCTAAATCTTAACTTTACTATAAAAAAAATCAACAAAAAAACCTTAAAATTTTTAAAAATTATACATAAAATAGATTTAAACTTTACTATTATCCAATTTTACAATCATTTTATAATATTTATTGTATAAAATAATTACCTGTTTAAAACACATTTCTAAATTAAGAACTGATTATACACAATCATATGCAGATGACCATCGTGAACAAACTGAGCTTTTTAATCCTCCCTTATTTATCATAGAGTTTGCAATTTCATTACGCAAAATTGCTCCAGCAAGATGTGATGTATGAAAATATGTTACAAAAGATTGACATTGCTTTAATACTTTTTTTCCAAATGAAGTTTTGCAAATTATATCACTACAAATCAACTGGATATGGTGTGCAATACAACGAACTGGTAATATTCCAGGATATTTATCTGAAATATATTGTTTTGCAAGTGACATTGCTGAAGCACCATCAGACACAACAGCTCCAAATTTAGTAACACCAATATCTATTAAAACTTTTTCAATTTCATCAGCTGTAAATATTGCAGTATGAGACTTATGAGAATAATCTTTAATTGAATATACATATTGCTTTTTGCTAGATGTTATAACTATAAAAGCAAAATAAGAATGTCCACGATTACTTGTCCAACTATCCAAAGCTAATAATATATATATAATATTTAATTAATTTTAAATTAATATTAATAATTTATTTAATAAATAAATAAAAATACCTAGT